TCCTGTCGAATCATGTCGACAGGTTCGAACCCAGCGATTCGTCTCAGAGAGCCTGTTTCAGCCACTTGTACTTGAGTTCGCAGTTTTTCAGTCATTACCCATGATTTATGACCATACGTGAGATCGATATGCACACAGAAAGCTGAGTCTAAAGTCTTATTCTGCTGTTGTCACAACGCTTCGAGCTGGTTCACACAACACACCATTGTCGATTCGATCTCTTTCTGCTATCTCCATCATTAATAAACACGATTCCGAGGTATTTACACTTCGTCATTTATCTGATGAGAGCAACGACAGGGGAACGAAAAAGCATCGGACTTTTTTATAGATACGTTTACACGTATGCCGATTACGTCGCATTCGGCAACGAGAGCTCTCTAGATCAGTTTCAGAAGATGCCAGCAAAACGAGGTCTTCTGCAAAGACTAACCTTGTCGTCTCCACTTCTTATGCGCTTAAACACTTATCGCCCTGGCTTCACCTGATTATTATATCCATATACAGCACAAATAGGAGAGGGGACAGAACGCATGCCTTGCTGGAGATCAGTAACAACGCTAAAAGGTTTCGGCTTAACGTCATTTACTCTGACGCAGCACTTGCTATCAGCATATAGTGATTGAATGGCTCATAGCAGCTGGCCATCTATCCCGTATGCTCGCTGGCATAATCACAGACTGTTGCGTGGGATCCGGTCATAGGCCTTGTCTAGGTCAACCAAGCACATGTCAACCGGTTAAGGGAACTGCTGTCATTTCTCAACAATCTGACACTGCTCGAAGTCCTTCCGAGGTGCTTTGGCCTGATATTAAGTCACACTGCTGTTTATGGATCTTAATGTCAGCGGTCCCGTGGCACCTCATTTCCCTTTGCGTAGACTTTTCTCGTAAGAGCCAATAAGGTTATGCCCCTATAATCATTACACTTTCTGTAGTCTTCCTTGGACATTTGTACTTCTTTGGCAGTTCTCTTGTTCATCTGTGACTTCCTTGTAGTCAGTGCAGTTTAGCTGAATCGTCTTAGTTATATCACGCCTTGCCTCAAGCTTTGAGCAGTCATTGCGCATTTCATAGATTTTAGCAGCATTACCACTTTTCAAGTTTTTTACAAGTTAACGTGAGTTCGTCGGCTGAAAGAATAGTATCCGTTGCCAGCTGCTATTCAGGCGAGCTTCCTGTGGTTACTCGAGGATAAAGAGTTCTCGCCATCGTTAAAGTATGTTTTCATTGTAATAAGGCGTATGGACCTGTCCTTCAGGACTTTCAGGTTGCCTTTCTTTTTATCTCTGAAACAGCGAATATTTTATCTCTGCTAGAATACCTTGTTTGCCGTCTGGAAATTCGCTTTTGTCTCTTTCTACTTCATTATAGGAAGTCAGATATGCCGGCTCATAATAATCATTTAAATTCTACAAACTTTTATCATAAGAAAACAATAAATCAAGCATATACTGATATGAATATCCATTTCTGGAAAACCAAATTTCATGCATTTAGGTATCTACACCACTGCAAAATGTTTATGAAAATGTGATTATGTTAAGGAAGGCAGTATTTGAGTACTGTGAGATTATATGTGTTCAGTGATGTGGAAAGTACTAGATACGATTCATCAGATATCGCGACGATCCGACGGTAAACGCTCTTTCTCCGCGATGGCTATAGAGGTGGTATTTGAGTTCCCTGCTGGACGCGAAGCCCTTGCAGCAGAACTGGCAGTAGTAGAAACGTCTTGCATCCGGATAGTACTTCGTCGGTGGCTCTTTATGACTCAGTACCACAGCATCGACATGCTCTTCTTCGTCTTCTCCCGGATGTTCATGGTAGAGTAAGTCACTGTATTTCGCAAAGCTCCGTCCACATTCACACTTGTACGTATACTGGCCTAAAATGAAAACGTATTACTGTACGAACTTGGGGGATTATTCTTAGTATAGCTTAGCATGAGTTAATGTCACTAAATATGTTTACCTATAAAAGTTCTTTTATCCTTGCTGTTCACAGTTTAGCTCCAGAGCTTTCATCGCAGGTAGTACGCAGTGATCGAAATATGGCTCATTTATAGTGCCGAATGTTACCTGAAGCTGCTACGATAGGATGAAGATCTATCGTAAATTCCGAACAGGTTAGCTAGCGAAGCTTATGCCTCATCTGATAGGGTACATTGCCTTGTTATTGACTAATATGAAAGCACTGATTATAAACCAAGGTTTGGTTCTGCTGTTTCATTTACATTCTAAAAGAAGAACAACATCTTTTAATCTAGCCCTCTAAAAGATGAATAATGACTAATTTAAGAAAAGAACGACATTTATTATATGATACCAGAAATACAGAAAAAAATACTACAGTTGTTATCACTGAAATTTACTCTGTGATAACTACCTGTGCGTCGTATTTACTTTCCATAGATGACCATATTAAAGACTGGTGAATAACAAGCATAGTGTTTTCTTTGGCCCTTCGTGAGTGATCAGCTGAACTTACCGGCTATCATTTGTCATAGACGTGTGAAATGGCTCAATCGAAGCAGATGTATGCTTAGATGAACCTGTTTGTTAAGCCATTCTTCAAATGCTTTTGAAAGCAACTAAAAAGTACATAATTTATATTTTCAACGCTCGCTGCAATGAGATACAATTAGAATGATTTTTTCTGACAACCAAATTAAACTGTTTGTAGGATATTTTACTGTAACCCCACTGCTGATTCGTAATACTATTGTAAAATAGAAACAACTTCCAATGTCCATCGCTTCAACATGGCATTTAATATTAATCCGTGTAAGTGAATTTCATTCACAGTTTCATCAGTGAGCAACGGGTTAGTAGTTTGC